CAGTGGTTCTCAACCTTCTGGCCCTTTAAATACAGTTCTTCATGTTGTGACCCAACCATAAAATTATTTTCGTTGCTACTTCATAACTGTAATGTTGCTACTGTTATGAATCATAATGTAAATATCTGAGATGCAGGATGGTCTTAGGCGGCCCCTGTGAAAGGGTCGTTCAACCGCCAAAGGGGTCGAGACCCACAGGTTGAGAACCTCTGTTCTAGGGTCACCCAGGGGATGGTCTGTTCTGGGGGGTCACCGGATGCCAGCCTGGGTGTTCTGATGTCCTGTTCCCACTGGCATTTCCTGTGATGAGGGCCAGAGGTGGAGAGGCTCAAGTGCTGGGGGTGATGGGGGTCCCCAGAGACATACACGTGGCCCCCCTGGGCTCAGGGCGCTCGTACCCTCTGGCCTGTCACAGCCTTGCCAGCTTCCCCTCGCGCAGCAGCCGTTTCTAGTCACCTGGGGTTGGAGGTGAGCTGACCCCTGCCTCCCCTGCTGGCTCCGCCTGTTCCCTCAGCCAAGGTGCTAGACAACAAATCTGACCCTGAGACACTGTCCGGACGCTGACCCCCGGATCTGTGTCCCCCCCACTCCCACCACCGGGACCTGGCATTGCTACATCTCGTTGGGTGCCCATAGGGCATTGTCCATAACCTCCCATCAGACGCAGCCCTCAGGTCCTGGGGGGGGTGCTCTGTGTTTGTGGGGTGCCAAGGTGACAGAGCTAACAGGAGGGGTAGGACCTTCATCCCTGGGGTTCCTGGGGCTGGGGACTAAGCTGATGTGGGGAGGCTAGACCAGAGTTGGGGTTGGGGGGCCTGGGGGCACGTGTTCATGGGGCCCCTGTCCCTGTCCGCCCCCAGATGTGGACGAGTGTGCGTGGCCCACTGACCTCTGCCCGGAGGGACAGCGCTGCGTGAACCTGCTGGGGTCCTACCGCTGCCTCCCCGACTGCGGGCCTGGCTTCCGGGTGGCCGCCGACGGGGCTGATTGTGAAGGTGACAGGGGCACGGTGTGGGGTTGTCCAGGATTCAGCAGACGGGGCGCTGTGCCACTGGGACGCTGGGCCTTCAGGGAAGACGGTACCCTCTTGACAAGGGGCACAGCGAGGCCAGGGCCTGAGCGGGGCCCAGGGGTGTGCGTTGGGCCTGGCCTGGCTGCTGGCACCTGGAGGATCTCTGACAAGGGTCTCTTTCGGGGCCTCAGGCTTGCCATCTGTCCAGTGAAGGGGACCAGGTCAGGGACGTCGAACATGTGCCATATCCGCTGCCACTTCCCCTGGCCCAGCCTAGGGACAGCCTCTGAGTCCTCAGCACAGCTGCTCCCGCAGCCACTGGGAGTCACGGGCAGTTGGCCTGTGAGATGACGCTCATCCCCGCCCCTGCCCACACCCCTGCCTCCCCAGATGTGGACGAGTGCCTGGAGCAGTCTGACGAATGTCACTACAACCAGATCTGTGAGAACACCCCGGGCGGGCACCGCTGCAGCTGCCCCAGGGGGTACCGGACCCAGGGCCCCGGCCTGCCCTGCCTGGGTGTGTATGGGACATCACGCCTGGCTCACAGGCAGGGAGTGGTCACCACAGAGCGATGTTCCATGAATAGCCAAACGCAGCCAGGCAGCCAGTGCTGTTGTGCACTCGCCATGCGCCCAGACCCCTGCCCTGCAAGGTCACCTTCCCAGGGAGCCCAAGGGGAGGAGGGTGGAGAGACGTGGGCGGGTCTCCAAGAAGCTTAGGAGGAAGGAAGGGCCTCCCCAGGACCCTGAAGGGAGAGGCTGCAGGACGGTTGGACTCTGGGATTCAGCTCAGAGCTGGGGGCGGGGGGTTGAGGCCTCTGAGCAGTGGGGGTGGGGGTGGGAGAGGAGGCAGCCGGCTTCTGAGGAAGGCCAGGCACTTGTGTGAGCCCTGAGCCTCCCTTGGCCTCTGCCCCGCCCCCTCCTTCTAGACATCAACGAATGTCTGCAGCTGCCCAGGACCTGTGCCTTCCGGTGCCACAACCTCCAGGGCAGCTACCGCTGTCTGTGCCCCCTGGGCCACAGCCTCCTCCCGGATGGCAAGGCCTGCACCCCGATGGAGCGGAGTGCGCAGAATGTGACCACCGTCAGCCACCTGGGCCGCTTGGTGCCCTGGCTGCGGCCCCGAGCCCTCCTCCCTGGTGGTGCCTACCACGCCTGGGTCTCCCTGAGGCCACACCCCGGGACCCTGAGCAGCATGGACCGGGCCTGGTGCCCCCCGGGCTTCATCCGGCAGAACGGCGTCTGCATGGGTAAGACCACACTCCAACCACCCCACGGGGACGCACCCCACTATGTTGTCTCGGGCTCCCAGGTTAGGTGTATGGGCACCACGCCCCATGTTCAGAGACCCAGGGCTCATGGGCAGGTGTGCAGGGGGGGCAGGGGGCACTCTCAGAGCCCTGGCCATGCGAGTGGGCAAGGGGCTTCCAGAAGAGGGTGGGGGATTTCCCAAACCATTTAAGCTCAGGACATGTTGCCCAGTGTCCCAGGAACCCACTTTGAGAAGCACTCCTCTGGCCGCACAGAGGTGGCGCCACAGGGAGGGCGGTTTGCAGGACGGGGGAGTGTGTTCCAGGTTGACACGAGGAGGCGGACAGAGACCGGCGGGACCCGGTCAGCGCCGGCTGCAGAGGCCAAGGGCGGTGGCCTCGGGGGCGGATGTGCTTTGGGGCTCCTGCCTGGATGGCGGGCTCGGCTGGGGGTGGTGCCCCCCCCAAGGCCTTGAGGTGGACAGGACGGAGTTCCCCCTCTCCGAGTCCACCAAGCCCCGGACCCTGCTAATCCCCGAACCCAGAGTCGGGTGGGGCAGGGCAGGGAGAAGGCGGGGGCCGCCTAAGTCACAGCGGGCAAGCGAGTGGCCACGTGGGTGTCTGTGACTCAGCCTGTATCTCTGCCTCCACCACCACCACCACCAATGCCCCGGCCAGACCTGGACGAGTGCCGGGTGCGGAGCCTGTGCCAACACGCCTGCCGGAACACGGAGGGCAGCTACCGGTGCCTCTGCCCCTCCGGCTACCGCCTCCTCCCCAGTGGGAAGAACTGCCAGGGTGAGCTGCTGCCCAGACGCCGAGGGGCCAGGCTTCGTGGGCAGGGGCATCCTCACGCCGCCCACTCGCTCCAGCTCCTCCTCCACCATCTTGTGATCTGAGGGAGGGGCAGGTGACAAGCCCACAGCCAGGCCGGGCCCGCACGCCATGCGGAGCTGAGATTGCATCAGCAGGCTCTCAAAGCCCTGGGGGTCCGCCGCAGCTCTGCTGTGTGTCCCTGGGCAACTCACTCCCCCTCTCTGAGCCGCAGCCTCCTGCTGAACGGGGCTGACACAGGCCTCCCCTAAGTGCCCGGATGAGACCAGGCAGGTGGGCTCAGAGCCAGTGCTCACAGCAAGGCGGCTGCTGCGCGCAGGGTCAGGGAAGCCCTCCAGCCCCCAAGTCAGCGCATGTCCCCTGCCGTGCTCGGGCGGGGCCGGCCACGCTGCTCCCCCTGCCAGGCTGTGTAGACAAGGATCGGGCACTCTGCCCATGGACAGTGGGCACTCCGGGTCTGAGGGCAGCCTCCTCTCTCCCAGGCTCAGAGGTTCCCAGGGTGCCCACCGCCATGCCCTGGGCAGATGGGGGTGCCAGGGGCCTGTGGGCTGGGCTGTCTCTAGTCAGGCTGGCCGGGGACAAGGAGAGAAGGCTGCCCACCTCCCTCCCCCTCCACAGGCATTTCTCTCCCACTCAGCCCTCCGTGCCTTCCCTGGGCCTGCCTTCTGCCCTCCCCGTTGCTCCATCCTCTCATCCCCCCTCTCTCCTTCCCCACCTCCCCGCGCAGACATCAACGAGTGCGAGGAGGACGGCATCGAGTGCGGGCCCGGCCAGATGTGCTTCAACACCCGCGGCAGCTACCAGTGTGTGGACACGCCGTGTCCCGCCACCTACCGGCAGGGCTCCAGCCCAGGGTAAGGGCTGAGTTGGCTGGGGAGTGGGGGGCTGGGGAGCTTACACTCTGCCTCCTATAGGCTGGACCCCTCCTCCAGGCCACGTCTCAGGCACAGGCCCTCCTACAACCAGTGGGGTCAGCCCTGCCTGAACTCCAGGGCAGCGCCTCTGTGCCCACTGGGCAGGGTGCCCTCGTGCAATGCACCTGCCTGTGGACATTCTGGGTGCCAGCTGGCCCGAACACGGTCGATTCCTAGAGGGATGCGTCAGAGGAGCAGGGAGCACTGGGGACCCGGAGAGGCCGGAGCTGAGTGAGGACAGAGGGTGGGGAGGCGGGACCATGTACACATATGGGGACACATGAACACACAACCCTGGATACAGGAACACACACAGACACACAAACACAAACACATTTCCACCACAGCTGTGCTTGCTGGGCTGCCCTGGGGCGTGGGCTGGCCAAGGCCTTGGCGAGGACCTGCCCCAGTGTGAAAGGGCATGTCTCTGGCTTCCTTGGGCCTTCATTTGCTGATCTCTACAATGGGCTGACAGTGGTACTTGTAGAGAAGGCATTTGGGGAGCAGGGGGTGGCCGCAG